AATGAGGAAATCAGAATGGGTGATGGTAGGAATGCAAGTTGACAACAAAGGATTTGTATAGTAAGAAGTTAAATTAGGTCCTTGGGAAACTTGGAAAGCCCAGGAATCTTTTAGTAAAACTGACTTTACATATTGCAATAGTAAGACAGGAAGTGGAGTGTCACAGTGATGGTAATATCATGTCAGGAAAAAGCAACATGATGCTTTAGGTCCTTGGGTTACTCTAGGAATCAGTACATGGCTGCCATTGCAGCCCACATTTTGCTAAGTATAACAGTAACAGTATAATATCATGTTTTAGGGTTAAGTTACACTTAACTTTTTTTAAAGATTTATTTATGCATACAGGAACTGGGGTGCAGGCCAGAGTTGCAGGGGTTGAGAGGATTCACCAGAGACAGAGTGGGGAGCAGAACAGGCAGATGGACTGAAATACACTGCTAAGGGGAGCAGCGGGCAGGAGAGATGTCTGCGGCGCCGTGTGGGTCACTCCCTGGCTTTGGAGTGGACTCACTGCTGCTGTGGCTGCGGAGAGCTTCTTAGTGCTGTGCTTTAACCTGGTGCTCCACCAGGGAGGGCCTACACTTAACTCTTTTACCCACTGTTTACTATCAGTCTTGTTTCTAAGGGTATTTTCAGCTCAAATGAACTAAAAACCCTGACTCAGATGCCCTATTACTTAGATTCCCAGAAGTGATCCTTTTGGGAGGATGATTGTTTCTGTTGCCCAGGAGATTTAGATTTTCATCTTCCCACTCTGCCGTTCTCAGGTCTCTGCTCTGCCGTAAGAGTGGCTCCCACTTGGCATAAATGTGGGGATCACATCTAGTAGATGCCCTTCTACTAGAAAGCCTTCTCTAGTTTGCTGCAGGTTTCCTATCCAGAACTGGCTAAGGAGATTACCGAAATTGGCTTAGACTGGGCTGGAAATTCAGCTGTGTGGGGAGGAGTGGCAGCCTGCAGAAAATTGGCCTCGTCTAGCAAGGAAGAAGGAGGCTGCAGGATGTTGGTTTGGCAATCAGCAGACCTGCCACAGCCTTTTCAATGAATTTATGAATTTGCTTTTAGTGGTACTGATTTTTGAAAGCTTTATTTATTTATGCACACAAGAACTAGGGTACAGGCCAGAGGTGCAGAGAGGATTCACCGGAGACAGAAGAGGGAGAAGCACAGGCAGATGTACTGAAATTCACTGCTGAAGGGAGCTCTGGGCAAGACAGGAGAGGTCTGCCGCTCCATGTGGGTCAGCTCTCTGGCCAGGGATCGAACTCCTGCCGCAGTGGCTACAGAGAGCTTTATAGTGTTGTGCTTTAACCTGTTGCGCCCCCAGGGAGGGCCCAGTATTAGTTATTCTTAGACCTGTACTCTTACTTCCTTATGTACAGACATGAAAAGGAAGTTTCGAGGAAGTGTAACTTGTCCAGGTTCACACTGCTACTAAGTGATAGAGCTGGAACTTAAACTCCCACTTTCTGGAGTTTGTTCCTAACTCATCATAATTATCTAAAGTTGCTTCACTCTACCTATAAAAATTCTATTTATTGTGTAAGGTGCAATTCATACACAGCCAGACTCATCATATAAAAAACTAGTCAAAAACCTTAATTAATTTGTACCAGGCCCCACAGAGCCACTCTTTATCCCGTTACAAGTTTGTCTCTATTTAACCACTCACTGAGTGTCGGCTTCACTGGCCGTCTATGTAATAAACGCTCTGCTCACTAGATTTGATAGTAGAGACGGCCCAATTTGTCTCTGCAGCCTCTCTGAACAACCAGTGTAGCGTTTGGCTTGTATAGGACTTAGTAAATGTTGGAAATCAAAGGACTTGTCCAAAGCCACAGTGAGTACCAGTGCAGGTCAGCCAAGTCGCCTGCCAGTCGTCTGGTCTCCTGGTGGGCTGCCCCCGTGCCGGGCAGAGCTGTCAGCGCCACACAGACACGCAGCGTTCATTCAGGCCATGTGCAGAGAGCACCTGGCAGGTGCTGGCTCCAGCGCCAGACGCTGGGTATGCTGGTAAGGGGGTCCAGAGAGGCCATCCGACGTTGCCGAGCCACTGGGGAGAAAACACGATCGCCTGACTCCCCTCCTGCAGGCCCTGGTTGAACACTCTGAGATAAAAGCCAAAGGGAGATTCAGAAAAAGTATAAAACCAGATCCCGCTCTTGAAGGGCGTGTATGTGTTTCCAAGAGACAGAAATAAATACAGATTTAAAAAAAAAACAAACAGCGCTCAAAGAATTCTTACAAAAGATCTGTGTACTTCACAGTATGTAAGCTATGTCTCAATAAAGTAAATTAGAGGGGGAGGGGAAAAATAACAGGCTCCAACCTCCCACCTATTAAGTTTGAGATGTCATCCAGCGCAATGTGTTTAGAGGCCTTGAAGGGTGTTATTGAACCTGAACAGAGTGACAAAGGTCAGACTGAGGAGGGTCAAAATGAGAATTCAAGGGAGAGATGTTTTACAGGAGCATAATGGTTAACTACACAGATGGAAGCCAAGCAGGCTTAGCTCAAATCCTAGATACTGCAGTTTTCACTGGAGGATTAAGTCCCAGATTCTCATCCTTGAGAACCTCTGTAAACCTGTAAACCTGTTTCCCCCTCTTGTAAAATGCAGCTGATGGTAGAACTATTTTCCTAGCATAAAGTGATGCATAGGAGGGGCTTAATACAGCCTGGCATGTAACAATCTTTAAAACGTGGTAGCGGCGACGACATCGAGAGACTTTTAGCACATTGGGATACAGGCATGGAGAGGCAGCAGTACGGAATGGCCAGAATGTCCCCCTTGGAGGTGCAGTCATTCACGGAACCAGGAGAGGAAGAGAGAGCTGCTGTGCGCGGCACTCTCCATGCCTTCCTTTGGCCAAGCTTGATGGCCATGTGACAGCTTGACCCTGCGCACTCAAGGTCACAGTCCTCCATGAGCAAAAGCTGTGCCGTGACTCTGAGCTAGCAAGGGTAGGACCAGATCTCAGGCTTCCCCAGGGTCGCCATGCACATAGTCCTGAAGGGCGAGTGAGAATTTTGATGAGGACAGCTGGGAAGGGCCTTCCAGACATGAGCGGAGGCATAGAAGTAGGCACAGCACGGTGACAGGAAGGTGTAGGTGGTTTTCCTTTCTAGAGCAGACTGAAAAAATGATGCTGAGTGGGTGGGAAAGGCTGTTGAGAGAGACGGAGGCTACACCAGCCACCCATTGCGGGCCTTGGCCTATATCGCCGGGCCTCCGCAGTGCCTTCCTGATCCTGCGCTAGTAGAGATGGCATTGCACACACAGCAGGTAGAGGCCTCTTCGGGCCGGGCCCCTCCACCCTGTTGTTGCAGCCTCGACAGATCCTGTTTCTCTCAGCTTGCCCCACAGGTGGGCAGACAGGACCAGCTGGTTAGTGTTTGGAAGACGGCTGGGGAGATACCCAAGCTGTGTCATGTCACACCAAGGGCTGACATTTTCCCCTCTCCTGGTCTTTGGGCTGGATACTCCCTGAAGGGGCTGGGCTGTGACCTGCTCACCGGAAGTCATTCTTCTAGTGTCTTTGATAAACATCTGCTGAAGGAATAGCATTGTGTTAGGTGCTTGGACTACAGTGAGGAAGAACCCAGCCCTGCCACCTGAAGACAGCCGCATCCAGCTGGAAAGACACTGACTCAACGCGCAGGAGAATGTCCCCATATAGAGCCTCTGCAGTAGCAGTCCCTGGCTTTTTTTTTTTTTTTTTTTTTTTTTTTTTTATGAATACAAGAACTGGGGTACAGGCCAGAGGTGTGGTGGAGGGGGAGAGTAGAGGTGAGAAGATTTCACCAGAGACAGAAAGGGAAGCAGAACAGGCAGATGGAATAAAATACACTGCTGAGGGGAGCAGCGGGCGGGTCCAGAGAGGTCTGCTGTGCCATGTGGGTCACCTCCGGGCGGGGATCAAACTCATGCTGCAGTGGCTGGGGAGAGCTTTGTAGTGCTGCGCTTTAACCCCTTGCACCTCCAGGGAGGCCCCCACTGACTTATTTAATGTCAACAAGACTGAACCAGCTCTGGGCTAAATATTCTGCATGTGCTTCATTTAATCCCCCAACAGCCCTGATAAAGTCAGTAGTGTCATTTTATGAGGAGGAAGCTGCGTGCAGAGGCGAAGTGACTTACGTAAAGCACAGCCTCTGAGTGGTGCGCCTGCACTCAGTTCAGGCGGTCACCCCTCAGCATCCCCACTTTTTAACATCTGGGTGTACTGCCACCCAGACACCCCTAAGTCTTTTAAATTGGTGCTAAAATTCAAAGAAAGGAGCAACCCCTGCGGCTTGAGGACATGGGAGGCTTCCTGGAGAAGGTAGCACCTGATTTGGGCCTGCACACTGGGCTGACAAGGGAAAGGGAGAGAAAAATGAGCAGGTATCTCTAAATTGCCCTTCCTTGAATCATTACTTTCAGCCTAGAATGAGAAAGCTAGCAGGGACCCTAAAGATCATTTAGCGAGGGGGTTCTCATGTTTTTAGGATCTAGACCTTTTTCTTTAACTGAACGATGCGCAGAAATCTTCCTTTTTTGAGATACCAGAGACACCTTCCCTGCAGACTTCCTCTAACTTTTGAGGGGTGTTTTCCTTTGCTGTCTGGAGGAGAAGGCCACAGTGGGCCCCCAAAGGCAGAAGAAAGGGGACTCTAGTGTTGGGTACTTTTTGCTTCTTGTCAATATCCCCTTATCTGTCACCTTGAATTGAGTTGTTGACAGCTGCAGGTGGGCACCAGGAGGGAAGGAGTTGGGGCTCAGAAGTGCCGTAGATGAGCATGAGGGGAGATGGAGCTGGAGTTGGAGGGGTCTTAAAGAAAGTTCTGAAGACTTTGGAGACTGGAGACTGAATATAAATCTTCCTTCCCTACATCCTACACTACATTGTGGCCGCCAGGAAAAATAGCAAGCACTCCAAGTCCCTGCAGGCGCTTGCCTTAGAAGAGGAAGGGGGGGTCGGCACCTCTCTCATTGTTCCCTCTACCTTCCCTAGATATGTGCAAGTGAAATTTGTCTGTATTCGGAGCCAGTCAAACAGGAAGAGAACATCAGAGGCAGACATGTGCCCAGCGTACTTGCTCCTGCGGTACAATGAGCAACTGGATAGACTGTTTGTCAGTGAACTCAACACCCAGCATGTACACGTTGATTCCAGAACTGCAGGCTCTGGGGCAAACCCCACTGGCAAATCTCAGAAGTCAGTGTGCCTGCAGAAACCCCAGCCCGCCATCCCGAAAGACCTTGACCCACCTGAGAAGCCCCCAGTTGAGCCACCGTTTTGCTTAGATAAGGTCCAGGCATCCGCTAAGCCAGAGCAGGAGGGCATCACCCCTTCCGACCTGGCCAGGATAGCAAAAGTGATGAAGAACTTCCTTAAGGTGGACGAGGGCTCCATGGCCTCTCTCAGTGTAGGCAACAGCCAGGACCTGGACCGGCTCAGCTTCCAGAGCAGCAAGATGAGTGACCTGTTTGTCCGCTTCCCGGAGAATCTCCTGCTGCACCGAGTGGAGAACACCCAGGGCCACATCCTCTACGCTTTCTTGGTGGAGAACAAAGAACGGGAGAGTCGAGTGGTCCACTTTGCTGTGCTTAAGGCCGAGACGGCCACATCCGTGGCCAAGATGCTCAGTATTTTCATGGAGTTCAACTCAGATTGGCCCAAGGTCAAGGTCGTCTTTGTGGACCCTTCCTTCCCTCATCGGGCCGTCCTGCAGCAGCTCTTCCCTGCCGCCCGCATCCTCCTCTCCATCTACCACACGACCCGGCTCCTGGAGAAGAAGCTGCATCGGAGTTCAGCCGACCCGCCCTTTAAGAGACTCATGAAGGAAGCCCTTCGGGAGGCGGTGTTTGTCACTTCTGACAGCAACCTGCAAAACCTCTGTCGGATGTCCCGAGCCCTGCTAGATGAGGACCTCTTCGGGTTCCTGCACGCCCACTGGTTCTCCTGTGAACTGCTGTGGTACATGCACGTCAGGAAGGGCCTGCACGCCTGTAACACCTACATGGACAGCCTGGACGTCGTCACCAGCAAGGTGTCGAGCCTCTTCCGCGAGCAGCAATCCCTGATGGACTGCATCCTCCGCTTTGTGGACTACATCGACTCCTTTAACACCAAAGGCTTGAAGAACTTGCCCACAGCTCCTCCCAAGCTGAAGAGAGCCCGGCCGGCAAGCACGCCACCGAAGTCCAAGAAGGCGTTTGGAATCTGCGGAGGAAGCCTCGCCAGCCTCCCCGAGGAAGAGGCCACGCCAGACCCACAACGGGTGCCCTTGCAGCCGCCGCCACAGGTGCCGCCCTCCCAGGGTGGCATGCTAGACAGCTTGCACAAGAGCGGCTTGGAGCTGGCCTATAAGCTGTGCCACAATGAATGGGAGGTGGTACAGAACTCCACCCACCTGGTGGACGTGGCCGGCTCTTCTGTGGACATCCAGCTGCTAGAGGACTCTCAGCAGGTCAGCAAAGACGGCTGCAGCTGCAGCTGTTCCTTTCAACAGTGGTACCATCTGCCATGCCGGCACATTTTGGCCCTGCTGCACACCAGCCAAAAGCCTGTGGGGGAAGCCATGGTGTGTCGCCGGTGGCAGAAGAGGTACCAGCACCTGCTTGGGCCCAGTGGGGAGCTCAGGGAATCTGTCGTGGTGCCAAACACAGGCCAGCTTGGGAAGCAAGGACGAAATGACATGATTCTGGACCTAAGCAGGGAGCTGGCAAACCTGCTGATGCAGAGCGAGGGGCCTGAGCTGGAGGAGCGCTGCTCCACCCTGCGCAAGATCGTGGACATCTGGGCCGACCCGTGCCAGCCCCCAGAGCCCATTCAGCAGCCAGGGGACTTCAGGGATGTGGGTCGCCTCCCTTTCCTCTGGGGAAAGCAGGAAGAAGGGGAGGGACAGCTTTCTGCTGGGGCCATGATTTGAGACTGACGCACTTGTGCTGGTATATTGGACCACAAACCCTCCTTGGAAGCCGGAGAGCTCAGAGTGGGCCAGATGTGCGGGGAATCAGCGTTTTAGCCTGTGTCTTCCCAGGCAGGGCTAGGACTGTTACTTTCCCGAGAGAAAGAAGAACCCCGCTGTGTGACAGCACTTGGCATCCACCCCTTTCCGGCCTTCCCTTTGGCATTCCTTGGGAGCCTGGTTCATATTCAAGGCCAAAGTTATCTCCATACTAAAAGGTCATCCCGCTCTCTTCCGTGACCTCTGAGATCAGATCTGACTTCACAGAACGAACCCCTGCACTGGGATAGGGTGAGACGAAATGGACTTGGTAAAAGGGTCTGTTTTCAGGGACAAAGGGAAGGAGGGTGATCCTTGACTGTTGCTGCTCTTTACAAAGATCTGTTATTTGTACCTTTTTATTAATATTAAATAAAGGGTTATTTGTTTTTTTAACAAAATCAAACAAGTAGGAGAAATATGTGCCGCTTCAACAAAGAAGGAATCTAATGGGGGCCCCTAAGAGGGAGCCGAGTAGAACACATGCCTAAATTCAAAAACTTGGCAACCCACCACTTCACTCTCTTCCTACCAGGCCAGCTTTCGGTGTTTGTTTCAGGCCCCCTTATTCTAATAGGAGGAGGTCAAATAGACCTGCGGGTGGGAGGAACTGAGTCCTGTGGGCAGCTGTCTGCATCTTGCTTGGGGGCTGTACACAAGTCCCTCATTTCTTTGGCCTGTTTTCTCCTCCACAAAAATTAGCATTGGCCTGTTTTAACCCCAATTTCCCCTCTGGATTTATCGAAACATTCCATTACAGTTTTAAGTATCAGCACTGGCATTTGGTGGCACTGGCTTGTAATCTTAATGACCCAGAGCCCCACTTGCCAAGCTGCCACCTGCAGGGGAAGCGATGTGGAAAGATGGCAGTCTGGTTCTTGCTAGTTCACCATGGCCTTGAACCGATCACAGTACCATGCTGCTTTCTTACATAAAGTCCTGGAAGTTGGGGTGGGCGGCGGCAGGCACATCGTTCAGCTCTCTTATTAGATAATGGATTTCTTCTAAAGGTTGGGAACTTGATCCCTAATGAGACCTGGGCCTTAGTTTACCAGGAATACAGAAGATGCGCTATGACTACCTAGAGACCTTTCCCACTCCCAGGCCCCACCCTCAGTTTTGGAATTTGACCGGAAAAGGAGGAAAAATCGGTAAAACTCCTGCTGTTTATTTTCATTTTCCACCTCTGAAAGAGTTTCCATAGTAACAGGCTTCCAGCCGGCAGCTCGGACAGCTGGGTGGCTCCAGAGTTCCAACTTGAGGGCTCAGAGCGCCTTTGGTGCAAGTATCCTCAGGCTCTCATTGGCTGCCGCCAGCCGAGCCTCTGGTAACCTTGGTAACAGCGCCCGCCCACGCGCCGCCGGATTACGATTGGTCGGCGCCTCCAAAGACCGAATGCGAATTCCTCAGACCATTGGCTCGAGTCACCGCGAAGCTGACGCCGTGGTTGGTGAGCCTCGAGGTCAGTCAGAGGCAGAGGCAGGGTCAAATAGGGAGAAATGGCGACGGAGCCAAGCCGTGGGTGAGTGATTTCCGAAGGGGTGGAGGTGTGAAGCCACTGACGACCGTGGTCAGCCATGACAGCTCCCGAAGGGGTGGGAGGTTGATTTCTCTTCTGGCTCAGGCCGGTCTCCCGTGGGAATATCAGACACACATCCTCCCAGCCAGGTGACTGGTGAGAGGTCAGAAGCTGGGTCCCCTCTGTCCCTGGATTTTGGACCTCCGGTCCTGTGGAAGGCGGCCAGGATCCCAAGCTACTTAGAGAGCAGTGGTGGGCAAGTCACCTGACCTTTCTGAGCCTCAGTTTCTCATCTGTAAAATGGGGACAGTCACCCAGTTTGGGGCCAAATACAGGAAACACTCGACCAGGGTATTGCAATAGAGGAATTTATGGAGAGGCAGAACTGTGAGCATTTGTTAGCCCGTTTTATGGGTGAAGGGTTTGACGCACACAGTCACTGACTTGCCCAGGGTCACACAGCTCTTAGGGGCAGCTGCACCGGTTGTAGTCTCTTGTACATACCAAGACCGAGTGAAAGTCAAGGTGTCTGGAGTTAAGTCAGGGTGTCTGGAAGTAACTCCTAAGGTGCTAATCAAATATTTGAAGTACATTTTTTTTAAAAAGAACTTTTGCCACTTTAACCTTCACACCTCTTTATATTTCCAGGAACCAAATTTCCATTACTTTCTTATCAGTTCTTGAGGCCAACAGCACCCTCCCTTCCCCCAGGGTACTTTGTCAACAGCACCCTCCTTTCCCCCAGGGTGCTTTGCCAACAGCACCCTCCTTTCCCCCAGGGTGCTTTGCCAACAGCACCTTCCCTTCCCCCAGGGTGCTCTCCTGACCCTTTAGCTAAAGTATTCCTCTCTCTGCTTACACTCCGCTGGTCACCAGTTTGTGCTCTTTGTGACCTTATCGGCCACATCTTGGTTTCCCTGTTTACTGTGTAGTCCCCCAGGACAGTGCTGATACATAGTAAGGAAGAATTAAACTGAGACTTGAACAACTGAGCCCCTACTGTTCTCTTAAGCCTGTGTTCTTCTCCACAGGCCCATCTTTGGAGCAAGATATGAGAACTGTGGTCCAGCCTCAAGCCTCGACTTAGTTGGAGCTTGAGACACTGTGCCTCCTGCATAGCAGGCTCACGGACAAGGTGTTGTGACCCCAGCATCTAGACATCGCCCGTCTCCCCCATGGCCCTGACAATGCTGAATGAGCTCCTGGTTGAGGACCCAAGCCCACCTCTGCTGCTCTACCAGGTTAGCGAGACTGCCCAGTTAGATACCCTCAACTATCAGAGCTGCTTTATGCAGGGCATCTTTGCCCATTTCCCTGAAATCTTATTTATCCACCGGACCTACAACCCAAGAGGCAAGGTGTTATACACCTTCCTGGTAGATGGGCCTCGGGTACAGCTGGAGGGGCATCTTGCCAGGACAGTGTACTTTGCCATTCCTGCCAAGGAGGATGCCGAAGGCCTGGCTCAGATGTTCCAGGTGTTCAAAAAGTTTAACCCGGCATGGGAGAGAGTCTGTACCATCTTGGTGGACCCCCACTTCCTCCCCCTCCCCACCTTAGCCATGGAGTTCCCTGCAGCTGAAGTCCTGCTGTCCGCCTTCCACATTTGTAAGTTTCTGCAGGGCAAGTTCTACCAGCTGTCCCTTGAGCAGCCTGTGGAGAGAGTGCTTCTGACCTCCCTGCAGAGCACAATGTGTTCGGCCACCGCAGGCAACCTGAGGAAGTTGTACACATTGCTGAGCAACTGCATCCCCCCGGCCCAGCTGCCCGAGCTCCACTCACACTGGCTGCTCAACGACCGGATCTGGCTGGCTCACCGCTGGAGAAGCCGAGCCGAGAGCAGCCGCTACTTCCAGGGCCTGGAGGCCACCACCCGCGTCCTCAGCCAGTTCTTTGGCACCAGCCCATCTGTGGAGCAAGGCATGACCTCTCTGCTTCGATACATGCAGCAGCACTCTGGAGACAAGGCAAGTTTCAGCCTGGGCTTGAGTTCCCAAAACAATCACGCTCCCTCGGACGTCAGCCCTGAAAGCCCCAAAGTGGAGCAGTTGGTAGAAGCGCGCATCCAGCACTCCCTCAATGCCATCTGCACGGGCCCAGCAGCCCAGCTTTGTCTGGGTGAGCTTGCTGTGGTCCAGAAATCCATGCACCTCATTGGCTCCGGCTCAGAGAAGGTCAACATACAGATCCTAGAGGACACCCACAGGGTGCAGCCCCAGCCTCCCGCCAGCTGCAGCTGCTACTTTAACCAGGCCTTCCGCTTGCCCTGCCGCCACATCCTCGCCATGCTCAGCGCCCGCCGCCAGGTGCTGCAGCCCAACATGCTGCCAGCCCAGTGGACAGCAGGCTGTGCTGCCAGCCTAGACGACATCCTGGGCAGCAAGTGGAGTGAGACCCTGGATAAGCACTTGACGGTGGCCCTGCTCACGGAGGAGGTGGGCCAGCTGCTGCAGCACTGCAGCCAGGAGGAGTTTGAACGGCGGTACAGCACCCTGCGGGAGCTGGCCGACAGCTGGATTGGGCCTTATGAGCAGGTCCAGCTCTGATGAGTCACCGCCCAGGAGCACGTCCACTTGCACACACTCGTGCCCCCCCACACTCACTATTGCACCGCCATGGGCCTCCTTCCAGACAGAGGCTCTTCTGCAGCCCATCTAACGGGGGCTCATTTCCCCAGTCAAGGAGGCAGGGAAGCTCTCCTGTGAGGGCCCATGAGTAAAACTATTGTCGGCTTTGCTGACCAGAGTATAGTCCCTTATATAGTCTCGGGGGGTGGGGGAGGGGAGGTTTGCTGCTGACACCTCTCGGAAGGGAAACCCATTATTAGCCCAAGGGCCTTACAAAAAGTCAAGGTGCCCCTGCTCTTGAGATCAGAGGTGAGACGCTGGGTAAAGACAAGGCCTGGGGCTTGCCAGGCTTCCCCAACCCTGTGACTCTCCTGACCCCTCTCACCTGAGCAAGCTGGCCTGGGAGGCTTCCCACAGGGGAGACCGCTCAGGAGAGGTAGTGCAGCCAGCCTCCCGCACCCCTTCCTGACCTCATTAAAGTTGAATGTTGCCTGTTCCAGCACTTGTCCCGTTTCTTTTGTGGAAAGAAGAAAGACTGGGGGGTGGGGTGCTCACGCCACACACGAATCCTGATTTTTTCCCGACCTGCTTTACGAGGCGGTTCTGCCATTTACTGGCTGTGGGGCTTGACTTCAGGCAGATCACCTCTCTAAGCCTCCATTTGGACATCTGCGAGGATGGGGGCCCCTTCCCCCCAGCGCTGGCGAGATTAAAGCAGAGCAGTGTGTAATGGCTGCATTGCCCAGTGAGTGCTCAAATGTTACTTATCCTTCTTGCCCACGGGCCCATTGCCTGCCTTCAGCAGCCTGGGAAACTGAGAACCAGAGAAAAACTCACATTGCTCATTGCTTCGGGCTCAATTCAAGAAATTTCGATCTGGTCCCTAAACAATACGGACACCCCCGCTGCACAGTCTCCGGCCTCAAGTAATCGTAATGACTCAGGCCGGACCCATCTCTTTCTTGGCTTTGTGGCATCTGGAGAAACTTCCACTTCCAAGGGTCTGGGCCCTGATGAAGGGCTGGTATTTGTGGCAGTGGCTCAAATAACCACCCTGTCCCCTCCCTGCCACAAGCACCCCCAACCCTATCCAAAAACCATACAGAGAAGCCACCCTACGTGTCTGGTGCTATTTCATCCAGCTACAAGCAGGAGCCGGGAGGCTCGCCCCTCCTGGGCCTCACTAGGGGCATCTGCCCAGAGGCTTTGTGTGCATGCTCCTGCTCCCACTGCGCCCCCTCCACAGCCCCCTCTGGCTCCGGATGGGCCATCATGAAAGCTTGAGCTGCCCGGATCAGGTCCTCTTCCCGCAGGCCCGGGACGGGCACGGTGGGGATGCCAGCGATCATCATGGCCAGGGTTAGGATGCAGATGTCAGGTTGGGAGCTGGCCTCCTTCCCCCCTGCCTCACAGGGCACCGGCAGGCCCCCTGGTGACAGCCCATACAGCAGCAGGGGCCCAGGCCTGCTGGGGCCACCCAGGTGGGGCGTTCTGCCTCTGGAGCAGCCTTCCTCCCAGCCCAAGCTCTCCGGCTGCCTCGCGTTGGGGAATTTGTGGCAGTATCGGCCGTACTCCTCCTGCTGCAGTGTCTCCCAGCTAGCCCCCCCAGGGCGGCCCCTGGCTTCTGGCACTGCCATGGTCGGGCCCCAGGCCTGGGTAACAGAGGCCACCTGCTCAGCTTTCTGGCTCAGGGGGCCTAGTCCGCCAGAGGCCACTGGCTCTCCAGGACTATAGAGGCCAAGGGACGAGCCTGGAGAAGCGGCCCCACCTGCAGAGACAGGAATGAGATGGAATGTTATTCTTGGTCTCTTGCAGGAGGTGGCCCTGAGGGGCAGGGCATAGGAACAGAGCATAGGGACAGATCACCCCAAGGGGGTTGTCTAGCGGTTGGAAACTAAGTCTTACTCATACCCACACCACCCCAACCCCCAACACTGAGTAGGTGGTAGATGTTTGTGGAGTGAGTGAGTAAGCAAGTGGGTAGCTATCAGGAATTTTGGAAGGACTTTTCGCCTCTGGGAACCGACTCCAGGGCAAGCCTCCCCGCCCCCCAAAATACCCAGCAAAACCTCTACTTCCCCAGAGCTAAGAAGTAAGCTCCTCAGGCGAGGTTATACCACCACCCTAGACCCCACTTCCAGGAGCCCCTTCCTCACCTTGACTGGAAGGAACAAGAGCTGGATGAGTTTGTGGAGCCATGAAGTAGGACATGGCTGCCCCCTGGCCCCCGTTTGTGAGGGAATAGTCTTCTGCCCCTGTGCTTTGCTCTCCACTCTTCTAGAATGTCACCTCATAGTCCCTCTTCTTTACACCTGGAACCTACTTGACAGCACTGTCCTGTTCATTCTAGGACCTGTATATGACAATGGGATGGGGCAGGACAAAGAGCTGGACTGGAAACTGGGGTTCTAGGTTCTTGCCTTTACCTTGGACAAGCCCTCATGGGGGTGATGGCTGCCCACTACCTCCGGAGTCATGAGGGTAAAATGGCACCTAATGGGAGATACCAATAAAGGAATCGAAAGCTTTGTGCCTGTAACATGTAAGGAATACTCTGCACCCCGTTCATTCACTCGCACACTTCCATCTCTGGGCATCAGTTTCTCATCCAAGAAGAGAAAACATTGGTCTCAGGCACTGATTCTCAGACCAGACTGCACCTTAGCATCTCTTGGGAGCTTTTAGAAATCCCAGGGAATGCCCCACCTCATCCCATGCTAATTAAACCAGAATCCCAGAGTCAGACCCATATCAGTCTTTATCCACATTCCTCAAGTGTTTTTAATACCTGTCAAAGCTGAGAACTCTAAGGAAATGTTTCTTAAATCTAGCTGTATTCTAGAATCTCCACAGGCGTTTTCAGGGGGGTAGAAAGAGCTTAACCCTCTAGCAAATCAAGTGAGAATCTCTGGAGATTCGGCACATTCTTTCTGTCCTAGATAATGATGCTCAGACTGGCTTGGAAGCACTGGGCTGACTGATGTCTGATGCGTGGCGCACCAGAGACAGAGTGGGGAGCAGAACAGGCAGATCAATGAAGTCCACTGCTGAGGGGAGCAGCGGGGAGACCGGAGAGGTCTGCTGCGCCATGTAGATCACCTCCGGAGCCGGGGATCGAACAGCTGCACCGAGGTAGCTGCAGCCAGCTTGCAGTGCTGCTTCCTAACCCACTGCACCACTAGGGAGGGCCCAACGCACAGTGATTCTAAGAGTCCCCCTAAGACTCGAGGGGCAAGGAGACCCTCCGATATTATACATGTCAGCATTGACTGTGTTTATTTCTGGTCCTGGCTGACAGAGTGTGTCCAACTTCCGACCAGGCACAGCATGGGGGCTGGGCCGCGCTCCTGGGATCCTGCTCAGGCACAGCCACATGTCTCTACTCATACTTGCAGAAATCCTTGAGTCCTTTAGGCAGGTGCAGCCCATCAATGGCCAAGCGGTGCACCACACTCCTCTGGATCACTAGGCGGCACAGAGTCTGCAGGCACGGCACTGTGGAAAGAAGGCCAGCAAGGGCAGGCTGAGCTGGAGGCTGGGGCCGGGGCCTAGGTCTCCCCTTTGGGTCCACTTGGGCGAGTACCTTCTGCTCTCCAGCCCCACCCTACTTCACATGCCAGTCATATGGCTGAGATAAGTGCCTCTTTCACAACACATCTGTTTCTATTGCAACACTCAGCTCGCTCCCTTTCCCCTCACTCAGCAGGTTCTGGGGCAATGGTAGGGGCTGCTTTAGCTGGTCGTCTCCAGGCCTGACACAGGGCAGGTTCACGTAATTCATAATCTGTGATCAGAGATACAAATAAAGAGCTTAAGTGGGCTACACTGAATGAGACGTCAGGCTTAAGAAGCTCTCCATCTAATGTCCATGCTGCCTTTGAATGGGCGTGCAAATCTATGCGTTTGGCTAATAAAAGCACACCCAGTTCTTAAGAGGCCAATCAGCCCGGTATCCCTGCTCTTGGTTACTGCAGGAAATATTGTCAAAGCTACAAGGGAACTTGCGGGGCACCTTAATCAATGACATCTAGAATGGGTAAACTGAGGCCCAGAACCAGGGGATGACTTGGCCGAGGTCACAAGCAAAGGCTGAACTTAGAGTCCCCAACTTCTAAACTAACGAGGGGCTGAGTAAGGCCTGGGCAGGGGCTAGGACGTTCTTCTAGCAGGTGTCTTTTCCCCAGGCTGGGCCAGGGCGGATACCTACAGCCATACTCCAGCTGCACCAGGCGCACGCTCTTGGTGGAGGCAAACACGTCCACCACTGCGTACAGGGGCTGGGTGGCCGGCAACCCCCTGGCGCTTGGGCCCATGTCCTCGCCGTTGATGACGATGTGCATGTCTGCCGTGCCATCTGGGCGGGGGCAGAAGAGAACACCCAGGCGGCTGCGGCGCGCGGTGGGAGGCAGCACGTTCAGCTCATACAGCTGGTCCAGCAGGTGGCTGTAGAGGCCTGGCCGGCTGCGGCCCACCAGGCGATCGCGGGGAATGCGAAACTGCTCGATGCACAGATAGGGCTCCAGCAGGAGGGTTGGGGGGCGTTTGGGGGCCGCGGTCGCCGCCTCTGGGCTGCCCTCCCGGGGCACGCGGTTATGATGGCGAGTGATGGCGAAGACCCAGGTGTGGCCAAGACTGACCAGGTCGGGCATCGAGAACTCGGGCACCGCGGCCAGACCGGCGGGGTCAAGGGCAGTCAGGCCTAGGCGCAGGTGTCCGCACCAGCCCAGCTCTTTTTCTTCGATCTCGACCAAGAATACCTGGCCCGGGGCCAGCGGCTCGCGACTGAAGCACACGCCGTGGGCGAAGCTCTCGACACGGGTGGCCCGCGTCCCGGAGGGATCCACGCGGATGTTGGCGCCGTGCACGCTGTGGAAGCGGGTGGGAGGGGGCTCGGGGCTCGCAGGACCCCAGGGCGCACCCAGTTCCACGGGGTGGAAGACCGCAGCCATCTCCGGCCGTGAGACAGGCCAGCGGAGCCGGGGACTATTTTGGGCGGCGGCCTCGGATGGCAACCGCGCCGGCACCCTGCAAGGGATTCCTCCCGCCCTCGCCCCTCCCCGCGCTCTGCCCGGGGGTCCTAGCGCCGCGGGCTCAGCCTGCCCGCCTAGAACTGCGCCCCGGGGACAGCTGGCGGCCACACCGGCCATCTGATCGCAGGCGCCCGGGACGCCACCGGCCGGGCCCCTCCCCGCCCTCCCCACCCGGCAGGCTGCGGTCTGAAAGGGACCTGGAGCGCGACTGTCACGTGATGTCGGGATACACGTGACTCCGAGTACACATGACTTCCAGTCGCCCGGCGCCTCCTGGAGAGCAAGGACGTTGGGGGAGCAGAGGTGAGGACGCTCTGGAAGCTGGAAGGGATCCCGGAGCCCCGGCTGCGGAGGAGGCTCGGAGGATGGGGTCGCGGGCCTGGGCTCCCCTCGCCCGGCCGCCCGCAGCTGCACCCCGGGCCGCTGCACCCCGGGCCGCTGCACCCAGGCGCGGAGGAGCTAGGGAGCGCGTAAACAGCAACCGCCGCTTCCTTCCGCAGATGGTCCGAGCCGCACTGTCGCCGCCCTGCCTGCTGCTGCTGCTGCTCCTGTCGTGGGCGCCCCGAGGCCAGGCAGCCCCTGACCAGGACGAGATCCAGTGCCTGCCCGGGCTGGCCAAGCAGCCCGCTTTCCGCCAGTACTCCGGCTACCTCAAAGGCTCCGGCTCCAAGCGCCTCCACTACTGGTCCGCAGCGGAGTTGGGGGCCCCTGGGGCGGAGTGGGGTGGAGACGATGTCCACCAGGGGAGACGTGTGTGAAGTCCCCTTAGGGGATCCTGAGAACGGGGAGCCCCCCACTGGCACCCACTCTGCCCTGACTCCCTCGGCAGGTTTGTGGAGTCCCAGCAGGATCCCCAGAAGAGCCCTTTGGTGCTCTGGCTGAACGGAGGCCCGGGCTGCAGCTCCCTGGACGGCTTCCTCACAGAGCACGGGCCCTTCCTGGTGAGTGGAAAGCGGCTCATTCCTCCTGGCCCCAGAGAGCTGCGCGAGGCTGCTTCCAAGGCCGAGGCCCGGGCGCAGGGAGACAAGGAAGGACCTTGTGCGTGTAGTTTTCCTGGACCTCAGGCTTTTCGTCTGGACCTTCTGCTCCACCGCCTGCCTCTCAGGAGTTTAGCCCTGTGGAAATTACCCAGCACTGTGGTCCTTTCCCGCCGTCCTGGTGGCTCTGGGGACTTACTGAGCCTTCTCTTTCCTCCCCAGATCCAGCCAGACGGTGTCACCCTGGAGTACAACCCCTATTCTTGGAACCTGGTATGGCCAGGGCTGTGGGTCCTGTAGGGTGTCTGGGCACTGAGGTGGGGGGCCCTCTTCAGCTCTTTGCCTCCTCCACTCCAGATTGCCAACGTGCTGTACCTTGAGTCCCCGGCCGGGGTAGGCTTCTCCTACTCCAGTGACAAGTTTTACGCGACCAATGACACTGAGGTGAGCCTGGTGTCAGCCCACATGCCCCACCCTCCCCAGCTCTGTAGAGCTGGCACAGTGCTGAGAAAGGGCCTGCGCTGGAGTCCGTGTTTGACTGTTCCGTGCTACATGTTGTGGTCTTGGCCAAGTCACTTCCGCTTGTGCCAACAGGGTGGGTTGGTGTCATTATCGCTGGGATTCTTTCCAGCTCAAATGCCACGGTCTCCTCATTCTTTTCATCCTGCTGAACCCAGGTTGCCCAGAGCAATTTTGAGGCCCTTCAAGATTTCTTCCGCCTCTTCCCCGAGTACAAGGACAATGAGCTTTTCCTGACTGGAGAGAGCTATGCCGGCATCTATATCCCCACCCTGGCTGTGTTGGTCATGGAGGACCCCAGCATGAACCTTCAGGTGCAGGACCGTGGCAGCAGGGAAGGGGGGCAACTTGTGGCTTCAGCCTTGTGGTCATCAAGCTCAAGCGGGGCTCCCCCCCCGACCCCCCATCTTCATAACCTCCCTGCCACTAGCTGGTCTGTCTATTTATGTGCTTCCAGTGGCAGGAAGCTCGCCTGTCAATTGCCAACTGTGTTCTTATGTTGAGTGGCCTCCACCACCTCTCCACCCCTACAAACCACCCTGGATTTCAACTTCCAGATTGCTGAAGGTCTGGGTGTAAGTCAGGGGAGGCTCCTTCTCACCTTCTGGATGAGCTGAACACCGTGGGTATTTCACAGGGACTGGCTGTGGGCAATGGACTCTCTTCCTATGAGCAGAACGACAACTCCCTGGTCTACTTCGCCTACTACCATGGTCTTCTGGGGAACAGGTATGGGAGGGGGCAGCTGGGCGATCTCCATAGTGGGCCGGTCAGACCTGTCCTCAAGCTCCTGGTTTAGGAGAAGGTGGGGGCTGGGGTCGCTGGAAAGGTTTGGTGCTGAAAGGCTGAGGGACAGAGATGAGGACTGAGGGAGTAGGGCAGTGGGCTTGGCTTCTAGCTGCTGTGACACCTTTCCCCAGCCCCTGGGGTCAAGTCCTGATGGGAGGTGAGGGCGCAGGTGGGGTCTCTCCATCCACCGTGGGCCTAAGCACTTTCATTCTGACCTCCTACAGGCTCTGGTCTTCCCTCCAGAACCACTGCTGCTCCCAAAACAAGTGTAACTTCTATGACAACAAAGACCCAGAGTGTGTGACCAATGTGAGGTTCTGCCCCCACCATGCGCCAGCCCTGACACCCCCAGCCCTGAGTACCCTCTGCATCCCCACTGATGTCCTCCCCCGCACTTTCCAGTATGGTGTCCCCGGGACACATGTTTATGGCGTCCCCACCGCCGCTTCTGTGACTTTCTGGGCAACTCTTAGGACAGGATTTCACATTCTCAAACACCCCTTGTACCAGGCACCCCACTGACCTCTGCCCACATAGATCAACCTCAAGGTTCTCCTCCAAGGGAGATGGTATTGCCCACGCAGGCCAAGTGAGGAAACTGAGGCCGGAATGCCGAAGCCACAGTGCTAGGAAACAGTGGCGTTAGGATTTAGACGCAGGTCTGGCAGACGCCTTCCGCCCAGCCGCAGTCTCCCTGCTTGGGGAAATTGGGTTTGGGGATGATGACAAAAGGCGAAGCCGAGAGTGTGAATCTCGTGGCAAATCGGCCGGGTGCGGAGGCCAGGCTACCGTAATGCGGGCGCCTGGGCGTGTCGTTGCAGCTTCAGGAAGTGTCCCGCATCGTGGGCAACTCTGGCCTCAACATCTACAACCTCTACGCCCCGTGTGCAGGGGGTGTGCCTGGTGACTCGAGGTAGGTCCTGCCCTGGGTCCCCGGGGCCGCTGCAGGCCCGCCCGGAGGCTCGGCCGCCCACCCCGCGCCCCCTTGATTGCAGCTTTGAGAAGGGCACCGTCGTGATCCAGGATCTGGGCAACATCTTCACCCGCCTGCCACTCAAGCGGAAGATACATCAGGTGCGCAGGGGCCCGGGCCTGCTCCCATGGTGGGGCAGTCAGGGCAGTGAAGACCCTGACCCACTGTCTGCCCCCAGGTCCTGCTGCGTTCTGGAGAGAAGGTGCGCATGGACCCCCCCTGCACCAACACCACAGCCGCTTCCACCTACCTCAACAACCCCTACGTGAGGAAGGCCCTCCACATCCCTGAGCAGCTGCCCCGCTGGGACATGTGCAAGTGAGGTTCTGGGGTGTGGGGGGTGGCTGGGGCCAGTGTGCACCCGAAGGTCCCTGGGGCCCTCTGGCCAGGGTTTCTCAGTGAGGGCACACAGGGGTGACAGGAAACACAGATGTTCCACAGCCTGGGGCTGATCGAGGTCCGTCAGTTCATGGTCACGTGACCACACGGTTGGTGAAAAGGGCAGTGACTTTCATGGCCTTTTAGTAAATTGACACCCCCAGCCCCACCTGCTCCCACACTACTCCAGTACCTCCCTGGCTCTCCTGAGTGAGAGACTCCTTACGTGAGCCCTTAAGTCCAGGGGCGGGGTGCTGGCCCAGCAAGTCAGCTCTGATGACTGGTCAGTGCCAGCCCCCGCCCTGTGTCACATGCTGTGGCTGGCACACCTGCTGGCCCCAGCGCACTCCAGGCTAGTTGCATTCCAGCCACTGTAACAACCAGAGTGTCTAAGTGTTTCTAAATGGGGGTGGGTTGAAACCTCCAAGTTCCAGCCAACCCCAAGCCTGCTCCCCCTCCCCCACTAACTCCGCGGGGTGGTCTTGTGCCCAAAGAGGGGACTGATCGTCAGCCTGTTGGCTCCTAGGCTGGAGCCTGGGAAGGACAGGGGATCTGATCGGTTGGCTTCTTTTCCTCCCCTTGCCTGGTCCTCCCGGGGCCTCCCACCTGCCCCCCTCAGCTTCCTGGTGAATTTACAGTACCGCCGCCTTTATCAAAGCATGGACTCCCAGTACCTCAAGCTGCTCAGCACGCAGGTGAGCAAACCCGGGACCCCGCGGCAGCCTGGCACGCGGGGGGCCCTGGAGAGGTCATGAGGCGGCAGAGTCAGGATCTGAACTCTGCTGTGGGAGGCTGAGGGGTCCCATCACCCAAGGAGCTAGCAGGGTCCTGTCAGAAACGGGCCAGCGGAGGCTCCAGAGAGCAGCGTGGTCAGAGCCTGGGCTCTGAGGTCAGATCGCCCGGTGCGAGTGCTTTTCCTCACGGTGTGATCCAAGGCAAGGAGACGCCCTGTCCCTGAAACGGGATAACCAACAGCATCTCCCCTCAAGAGGGAAAGCGCAGGCAGCACCCCGGACTTGTGGGAGCGGTCGGAGCACAAGAGTGTTTCCTGGTTCATGCAATTTACCCGAACCCTTGAATTCCCTGAGGGCAGGGCTTGAACTGGGCTGTGGACTGGGCCCCTTCCAGAACCTTCCCCCCTCCCACTCTAGAAATACCGGATCCTGCTATACAACGGAGATGTGGACATGGCCTGCAATTTCATGGGGGATGAGTGGTTTGTGGACTCCCTCAACCAGAAGGTGAGGCGGGGTCCAGGCGCCCGGGCGAGGCCGGTGTGGGTCAGGGTGGCTGTGCCTGGCAGCGTGGATCTGGAGGACAGAGGGGCTGGTCTGGGGGAGCTCCCGGCCCCCAGGATGGGGGATGGGGCAGCGGCAGGCTGCTCAATCTTGCTGGTGGGGCAGGTTGAGGTGCAACGCCGGCCCTGGTTGGTGAACTATGGGGACAGCGGGGAGCAGATTGCTGGCTTTGTGAAAGAGTTCTCCCACATCGCCTTCCTCACCATCAAGGTAGGCCCTGGCCGGGTGAGGCCAGCTGGGGCCAGTGGGTAGGATGCAGCCAGCCTTTAACTCCTGGCTTCCTTGTGGGCTGAGCTACCACCTGGCTCTGTAAGAGCAAGTTTTATGGGGGTGATGGGAAGCCTAGAGGGCTGGGGGTGGGGAGAGAGGGGAGGAAGGCCACTGGCTAGAGGGCTCCAGTGGGACGAGGGAAGTGTGAAGGGCCAGGGGTATAGGGAGTTACCTGCTGGGGCCAGACTCTCACAAAGTTTTGCTCCTCTGTCCAGGGCGCTGGACACATGGTCCCCACGGACAAACCTCAGGCTGCTCTCACCATGTTCTCCCGCTTCCTGAATAAGCAGCCGTACTGAAGACCTCAGGCCCAGCTCTCACGCCTGATCCAGCCCCTCAGCCTCTCCTGCTAGAAAGGAGGTCCTCCTTTATGCAAAACACCCCTGCAGGACAGGCCCCTGCCCCCCTCCAAAGCCCTGTGGATCCCAGACGGGGCCCCAGTGCCTCTTCCAGACAGCACTTTATCCCTGATTGGGGTGGGGCCTGGCTGCCCCCCTGCTTTTAGAATGCACTGATCCCACCCCAGAAACAACAGAGCTCAGGACAGCCCACTGGAGGGAGATGCTGGACTGTAATTGATGGACTGACTGTGATCATGGAATTAAATTGGGTACAGCTTAAAACCCTGTCTTCTCTGTGGCACTGGGGGTTAGGGAGGACACTAGGCTGTAGGGGACTGAGGCATCGGAGTCCTGAATGCAGCTGCCAGAGTGGAGGTAGGGGGCTCAGACCACTGCCGTGGGGGGCGCCGGAGCACTGGATGGGGCTTGGGTCTCAGCAGGCCGGTTCTTCTCAATAACCTCTCGCAGCCCTTTTGCAAACTGAAGATCAGCCCCGATGGTGAGGAAGCCCTGTGCAGTGGGGCAGAAAGGGGAAGTATCCATTCCATTACTGAGGCCAGAGTTTAGTTATAGAGGCCAAGTCCTTGGTCTCAAGGGTTCTCAGGCTCGAGTGGAGAAGTGGCACAACTAAGTGGTTTTTATGTGTGTGAAGGGTAAAACAGGCTGCAGGAACTGAAAAACAGGCTGCAGGAACATGGCCCGAGGGATCAAGGAGGGCTTCCTGAAGGAGGTGCTCTCTTCACTATGAGGTGAGAGATTAGCAGCCTCTGGGAGTGGAATCAGGAAAGTGTGTACTAAGGATGGGGCCACAAGGATGATGTAAGACTGAAATGGGGTTGGGGAGTGGGGGCTGACAGGTGCTAGGTTCAGATCATGCAGGGCACAGGAGAGCTCTGGAGGGCGGGCAGGCTGCCCTCCTGCCTGTCAGGCTTACTCACTGCATGGTTTGTCACCACCTCACGCACAAAGTTGATCCCCTCAGGTAGCGGGATCTGCACCCCACGCCAGGTCCGCTCTGTGGGTGGAAACAGCCAGCTCAGCCTGGGCCCACACAGTTCACCTCTCCGTTCCTCCTCCCTCCTCACAACCCCAGCCCTACCATTAATCATGGGCATCACCCCAATCTGCAGCATGGTCTTCAGAGGGGTCTGCAGCGGGATCAGCTGAGAGGGAGGTAGGAGGAAGAAGCCAGGGCAGTGAGTAGGGGTGGCTTGGCTGCCCACCGAGCCTCCTTGGTCCACCCACCCGCTGCTCCCACTCACTGCCAAAGACTCCAGCGCAGACTGGTTTGAGTAGATTCGGAACCTGTGGGAGACAGAAATATCTGGAAGCTCCTCTTCTTGGCCCACCCTGACCTACCCTTAGGAGGCTCCTGAGTTAATCCCCTGTTAATGTTAATCACCTTTTTTTTTTTTTTTTGCAAGACTTATTTATGCATATAAAACCAGGGTACAGGCCAGAGGTGCAAGGGGTGGGAGGATTCGCCAGAGACGGGATAGCAGAACATGCACATTGAAACACTTTGCTGAGGGGAGCAGCGCTGCCCTCAGAGGTCTGCTGTGCCATGTGGGTCAGCTCCCTGGCAAGAGCTGGCTTCAGCGTGCTGCACTTTAACCCACTGGCCACCAGGGAGGGCCCTGCCTGCTAACTTCTAAGAAAACTGACAGATGCTAACCATGTCTATGAGGTTAAACATTCTTAAAATATGTTTAACATGACAACCCCACTAAGCTCTGGCGATTTGCAAAATGCACCTGATATTTGAGGCAAAGGAGACCCAGGGAGGTGAAGTCATTTGCCTGAGGTCACACAGCTGGAAAATGGCAGTCCCTACTTTCGGGATGTGAATTTTTTTTTTAATTATTTATTTATGCACACAGAACTAGGGTACAGGCCAGAGGCTCAGGGGCGGTGAGAGGATTCACCAGAGACAGAGTGGGGAGCAGAACAGGCAGAGCGAGGAAGTACACTGCTGAGGGGAGCAGCGGGCAGGTCAGGAGAGGTCTGCCACGCCATGTGGTCACCTCCGGGGCAGGCGGGGATCAAACTCATGCTGAAGTGGCTTTATCTTCTCTCAGTGCTGTGCTTTAACCCGCTGCGCCACCGGGGTGGGCCCCGGATGTGGATTTTTAACCACTGCTGTGTACAATCTCTTTGGCCATCCGTGCCTGGCCAAAGCTCCCCGGGGCCATAGGAATGAGGCTTATGCCGCCGAGGAAGGGGTAAATGTGTTCATTTAAGCGTGGTCACATGTGACTAGCACCCACCGTAATGCACAGCTCAGCTCCACCAAGTTGCTGTGACTCTCACCTCCACGTAGGAAGAAAATGAAGTTGGGAAGGAAACAATGAGTTGTCTCGAGATCACCTAGCTAAGGTGTGTTGCAGCCTCTGCCAAACCCCACGTTGGGCGCTCTGCTGTGTGACCGTGGGCCTGTCATTTCGCCTTGCTGTATGGCCATCGCATCACACCTGTGCTGCCTGCCTCCCGGTGGCCAGGGGGATGCTTGCAAGTGACCCTTGCGTAAAGTACATTTTACGGTTGAGAGCCCAGCTCTCCAGTGTCCTTTCGGTGTGACTGAGTCTTAGCTCTCCAGTAAGGCAGGTGTGATGGGCCCCAGCAAGCTGCGTCCCGGGCTCACCGCCCCCGCCCTGCCCCGCCCCGCCCCACCCCGCCACCTACCTGCGCAGGTCCAGCTGCGTGCGCAGCGCCTTCCCCCGGAGCGCCATCTTGGCGCTGAGCCGCAAATCCTGCAGGTAAGTGGGGAGGGGCTGTTACTGATCCCAAGGGCCCACAGCCCTCTTCTCCCCGACCCGTGGCAGCCCGCACGCTCGTGCCCGCACCATGGTCATGCTGGACAGCTGGACCTCGGGCTGGTTAGGCGGGACCAAGGCGATGGTGACGCCGGCAGTGACCGACACGGTGGTGCCCGAGGGCTTGATGGTGCAGCGCGGTGGGGCCAAGACCCGCAGCTCCAGCTTCAGCGGGGAGTCGATCACTTCCGGGCTCTGGGGACAGACCAGGAGGACAGGTCAAGGGCCAGAGCCATGGCCGCTGGGAGCACAGCAGCTGGCAAATACGTAGACCGGGGTGGCCTGCCAAGCCCTCCAGAACAGGAACGGCAGATTGTAGGCATGGCCCCTCTCAGCTTCCCTAAGTTACAGGTATTCAGGATCTGTCGCTAGACTCTTGGGGACAGTCTGCATGAACTGTGCCAGATCCGGCTGGACTGTTTCGTCACAGGTAGTGTAAGTCCCAGGAGAGTCCTACGCTGACCAAGGGCTTACTCTTCACTGCACACTTCACATGTGTTAGCCCATTGCAACCTCATGGTAACTAGGAAGCAGCTATAATTCACTTATTGCTGAGCTGAAGACGTTGGCACCAAGAAGTCAAACAACCAGGCCAAGGCCTTGTGGCTTTTTGATTGTAGAACTGGCAGGAAAGGCCATGCTGATGACGGTGATGGGCTGTCAAGCCTGGAGACACCAGCAGCCACAGCAGGAAAGTGGGCCGTAGGGTGTACGGAGTGACCCCCGAACCAGGTGTTGATCTGCTTGCTTATCACGCATGAATTCACTGATGCTCAGACACCTGAGTGAGCTTGGGTAGTGCAGAAGGAAGGCAGTGTGATCTTGAATCACAAAGATTCAACCCAGGGTCAAGTCCCAGCTCTGTCACTTACAAAGCCGAACTGATGTTTATGTCCTTGAATGACCGCTGAATTAGTTCTTCAACTCCCACTCCTGTCCCCACCCACTAAGGGAAAAGAAGATATCGGTCCGTGTCCAAGCCCCTGTGCTTGGGTTCTCATCATCATCATGGCTTTGCAAAGGTGATGGAGCAGGAAGAAGCAGCTCCCATCACAGGCAAGGCAAGGTGAGGAATTTGACATAGTGAGTGGCCAGGCTTTTGTCTGCTCCATGGCCTCTGCCTCACCGGTCCCTCCTAAGTGTGCAAGTGGCCACCGACCCTGGCCATGCACCCGGCTCCTGATACTCACCAGTAGGACAATGCTCCCAAAGAAGGAGGCTCTCAGAACTATGTCCAGGTCATGAGGCACCTGGACAAGAGGGGTGGGAGAGGCTGAGTCATCATGAGCCCATCACAGGCCTCTTTGCCCATCCCACAAGTAGGCCTTGCCATACCTTGTCCCCCACGAGTGATAGCTGCAGGACCCCCGCCCGGAAGTAGCTCTCCAAGGCAGAGTCAAAGAAGAACTCAGAGAAAGCCACGTACACCATCCGCTCCTCTTCCTGCAGCTGGGGTTCCACCGCCTGGTTGGGCAGGCTCCAGTTGGAGTCTGAGAGGGGAAAGAAGGCCCCCTGGGGTTGGGGGTTAGGGTCAAGGCCAAGGCAGATTGGCCTAGATGTTTCCAGGCCCCATGCTAAGCACCGGAGGGAGTGGGGAATTGGACCCGGCGGGGGGTCCTTGGGGAACTCGCCAGCACAGTTCTTAAAAGACCTTGAAAGGAGAGCAGCTGCCAGGGAGCAGGCCCAGCAGGATGGAGAGGGGAGGCTCAGGAGAGGGTTCAAGGAGGAGGTGACATTTGAGTGGACCTTGAAAGCAAGATGACTATAATGGCAATGACACAGCAAATCTTCCATACCCTTGACATTGGCCAACTCCTCAATCCACATCAAAACCCTGTAAGGTATGTTTTCTGACTGTATTATTTCCATTTCTATATTAGCAGGAAACAGGCACAGAAAGGTGAAGCCACTTGCTTCAGGTCACACAACCCATAAATGGTGAGCCAGGATTTGAATTTGGCACCCCAGCTCCAGTCCGTGCTCTGGAACGGCACTCCTGACTGGGAGGAGCAAAGGTCATGGCTACATACCAGCTGTGTGGCCTTGAGCAAGTGCTGTCACCCCTGAGCAAATCGCCACACCCCTAAAATGAGCATGTTAGTGCCTGACTCAGGGTTGGGAGAAGATGAAAAGTACATAGAGTTCCATGTCCCACTTCTTCAGGGAAGATGGGGAAAGGCAGAGCCTGAGCAAAGGCCCTGTGGCAGGAAGTGAGGGATACATGGGGGAGAACAGCTCCCAAGGAATGGGCGGAAGTGGGCACGGTGGGTCCAGAAAACATGGACCAGGCTCAAATGCCAGACGCTGGAAGCCGAGCCCCAGGCGAGATCAGCAGTGGCATGTCCTCACCACAGCCCAGCCTTGGGAAGCTAGAGCCAGCGATGCAGGGGGAGAGGAGGGAGACTGGCTAGGGCAGAAGTGACACACACACCCGCCGGCGTGCTCACCCGGAAGTCCATGTCCAGGTTGCTGGCAGAGGCCACAGGATCCTTCAGGAGGGAGTAGTCAATGCCGACATGCTTGTCCACAGAGCTGCGCACTGTGGAGAGGGCTGCTGTCACTCAAAGCTGTGTGGTGCTGGGCAAGGAGCTTAACCTCTCTGGGCCTCAGTTTCTCATCCAAGAAATGGTGACTATATGGGTGAGGCTTTAGTTAATCTTGTGTGGAAAACACTTAGTGCCTGCTGTGCAGCTGAGTGCTCAGCAAGATTAGCTATTGTTATTTTTATCCTACTACTTCTACATTCATTGCATCATTAAGCAACAAACCCCCAGTTGGTTTCCCCCAACTTCCTCCTTCCCTCCTATGCCCTGTGTATGAGTAATGACCTCTGCCCGACCCTAGCCAAGTCACAGCTTAAGAAAAGGGAATTCATGTTAATTGAACACCTATTAAGTGATGAAGCCAATGGGGCTCCAGAGAGCAGAAGCACATGTTGACCCGGATGACCATCCACCCTGGAAACCATCACAGCAACCCCAAGGGCAGGCAGCAGCCATGTGTGAGCCCAGGACTGTTCCACAGCCAGCCTGTGGAGGGGTCCGCCCTGGGGTGCTGCCTGCTGGCTGCGCACCCCACCCCCTCACCCCTCTGCAGCTCCAGGGCATCTCCCAGAGCTCCTCACCCCACCAGTGTCAACTCACCAGGCACAGTGTCCAGGAGGGAGTTAAGTAGCACTGTCCCTGCGTGGTAGAGCACGGGGCAGATCTGGGAGAGGGGAGCGAGTCATGGTCTTCAAAAGCAAAGGCAAACCTGCCCTCAATGCCCCCAAGCTGCCCCTGCCCACACCTGCTGGTTGAGGAGGAAGCGCATCCCCGAGGTGATGAATGTGGAGAGGAATTCATACACCTTCCTGTGAAGAGAGGAGCCGGGTGAGCCCGAACCCTGCCCAGCCCCAGACCAGGTCCAGCACTGACTGCAGTGACCAGAGAGATGGTGGGACACCTTAATTTCCCCCTGGATTGCAGCTCCGTAGTGGAGGTTTTCCACAACGCAATCCACGTGCCCCCTCCAGCTCTGTTCTCCGACCTCCTCATCTTCCCCTGCAGCCAGCAGCCGAATGAATCTGCCTACACACAGTTCTACTCATGCCCTCCCTCCCACCCCGACCTTCCCGCTCTGGACACTCCCTTTCAGGGTATAGATGCTTCCTCTCCAGGCAGTCTCCCCAGACTCCCAGCTCAAAGCCCCCCCCTTTTAAAAATGTATTTATGCATATAGAACTGGGGTATAGGCCAGAGGTATGGGGGTGAGAGGATTCACCAGAGACTGAGTGGGGAGAACAGGTAGATTGACAAAGTACACAGCTGAGGGGAGCAGTGGGCGAGACAGGAGGTCTGCCGCGCCATGTGGGTCACCTCCCTGGCCGGAGATCAAAGTTGTGCTGAAGTGGCTACAGCTAGCTTCATAGTGCTGCTCTTCAACTTGTGCTATCAGGGAGGGCCCTCAGATCCCCTCTTCTTGACCCAAAATCAGGAACCATGTTACTTTTGGTATTGGTAGAAGAATTACCAATTATTGGCCCTCCCTGGTGGTGCAACCGGTTAGGACGCAGCACTGCAAGCTGGCCGCAGCCGCTACAGTGCAAGTTCCATCCTTGCCCCGGAGCTGACCCACAGGGCGCGGCAGACCTCTCCTGGCCTGCCCGCTGCTCCCCTCAGCGGTCAGGGGATCTGTTGATCTGCCTGTTCTGCTCCTAGCGCTTTCTCTGGTGAAGCCTCTCACTGCCCCTACACCTCTGGCTGTACCCCAGTTCAGTATGCATAAATAAATGAATCTTTAAAAAAAAAAAAGAATTACCAATTATTAAGAATCCATTGCACACCCACCTGTACACACTAATCCTCACAGTTGCCCTTACCTAAGTGTCTCTTCACTTATATGCCAGGAACTGCTAATACTGTGTTACCGTAAGTGGAAAATGCATAAATATTACATCTGTTAACACAGATGGGTTATATTATCCCTTATAGCATCTTGTAAATGGGTTATATTATCTTCTTTATATTATCTTCTCCATCATACAGGGTGGAGACTGCAGCAGGGACCTCAGGGACCGCCCAAGGCCATCCAGCCAGAGGTGGGCGCCAAGGCCAGACCCCTATCCTTGAGCTCCCAAGGCCGGGCACTCTGCGTGACACTAGGGTTGGGCCTGGGATTGGCTTACTTGAAGGTTCCCCCAAAGGCCGCGTGCATCCTGGAGACGGAAGCTTGGCAGGAGACGTTGGACACTTTGATCCGGCCGGCGGGATCCCGGGAGAGCTGCAGACCGGTGTGAATGGACACGCCCTCGGCGGATGCATTGATATAGCCTCCATCATAGCTGCCGAGGGGTAGGGGTGCTCAAGTGTGAGGCTTGGCTGAGTCTTCACTACCCCCGCCCTCGAACATGAGGCATCTGAACCCCCACCCATCGTGACACCTCTTAAGACTTCACTTCTGCAGTGTACCAGGCAGCCCACCGGGCGCCACGAAGTTGGCAGGATTGCCATTATTGTACAGACGGAAAACAGACTCAGAAAAGCTAAGGGGTCACCACTAGCCCCTCCGGACTCCCCCGCACTCCCCTGAGGGTGCCTGCCCATCCTCACAAGAACCAGTAGACAAGCTGTCTCCGGAAGCGCAGCCCCAAGGAGGCGTTGATGATTTCTAGCATCAGCTCCTGCTGTGGCTGGAAGTGGAGCTCAGAGGATGTCAGCTGCAGCTCCATGACTTTCACCCTGCGGGAGGTCCCAGAATCAGCTTCAGGACCAAGAAGAGGGGACCCCAGCCAGCCACAGGAAATTCAGTACAGGTGGAGGAAGGTGAGGCGGTAGGATGAACTCTTCCATTTCTCCTCGGTTCTTCACCTGGATTTGGGTGACTCAAACTTGGACTTAGGTGGCTGATATATTAGCTCCTCCTGATCCAGGTGTTCAAAGTGTGCTTCACCCCGGCATTTAGAAGTTTGGCTACTTGCACCCCCTCCACTCTCGCAGTCTGGAGTTACTAGACCTGGTCTTTCAACCCAATCTTTTGATTTCTGCCTCCAACCTTTAAGCCGCATCCCAGTTCCCCTAACCCTCCCGTCCTAAACCCAGGCTTTCTATCCCGTCCCC